CACTGGCCACAGCCAACCTATGTCTTTATTTCTTGACATGGATACCACTCACAAGAAGACAGAGTTGTGTATGAACTTCATGGTGCTTCACACCTTGTTTATGTTAATGATATATGATTACAGATACAATATATAGTCACACATTATATGTTACTATATTTTTTATACAGATGCACAATCGAATCATAGAGTGAATAGCCCCAGTTTAGGAGGAGCTGTTCAGTTCTTCTGCTGACAAATTGTTTTTTAATTAGATAAAATTGCCTATAGTATTTATAAATTAAGTTATATATATAATCTTCTATAATTAATTGATATTGTATAATTAGATATAATAGGATACATTAATTGTAAAAATTACCAAATTGGCTTTAATATAAATGCTGTAGTTTTGCTAAGGCCAAGCTTGCATGAAATGCCTGAGTTAAGTATCCACACGGGGTGGAAGCAAAGCTGTGCACTCAGTTTTCCCTCTCAGATTTCACAGGACCAGTTAGGTTGGAAGGGACCACAGTGGGTCATTTGGTCCCACCTCCCTGCTCAGGCAGGGCCAGTCCAGAGCACATGGCTCAGGATTGTGTCCAGATGGCTCTTAAACACCTCCAGTGAAGGAGAATCCACAACTCTAGGCAACCTGTTCAGTGCTCAAACACTCTAATAGGCAGTTTGGGTACAGCTCATGTTCTGGTCGAAATTCTGTGCATTAGTTTTTGCTGTTTCCTTGTTGATTGGTTTCCCCCACTGAGCAGAGTCTGATCATCCTCTTGGCATCTCCTGTTCATGAATTTGAATGCATTAATCCCTCTCAGTGTCTCTTTTTGAGACTGAACAGCCCCAACTCCCTCAGCCTTTCCTCATCCCTGAGGTGCTCCAGTCCCTTCAGCATCTTCCTTGCCCTCCCCTGGACCTGCTAGGAGTTCCATGTCCATCTGGCCCTGAGGAGCCAGAACTGGACACAACACTCAGGTGTGACCTCACCAGGGCTGAACAGAGGGTCAGGATCACCTCCCTGACCTGCTGGCAATGCTCTCCCTGATGCATCCCAGGATTTCATTGGCCTTCTGAGCCACAAGGACACACTGTGACTCAATTCCCCATACCCAGTGGAGAAAACATGTGTGCCCATTCTAAACTTGGGTCCAGAAATCCAACACCTACACAATTTCAGGTGTCAAGACCTATTCAGAGCCAACAGCCTGAAGATGCCCAGCACAGTATCTGCCTCCGCACGACCCTCATTAAACACAGTGTTCTCCTTTGGCTGTTGTGTTTTTGACCTGTGTTTTTGACCTGCTCTGGGGTGTTGGCAAGGCAGCTGCAGTGATTTCAGGACACTCCCAGGGCTGCTGCTGTGTTGTTTGTGTTTCGCCCCTTCTCTCACCTCACCTGTATTTGACAGCATGCAAAGCAGCAGCCAAATACCTCTGTGAGATATGGAAACACGGACTGAAATCTCTTGCTGTTATTTTTTAAAGCTTCAGGGAGGAGGAGTCATAGTGGAGTTCCTCAGAGAGGGAGGAATCAGCTGGGTTCTGAATTTCTTTCCTTGGCATGGGGTGGTGAGGTAGAAGCAGGTGAGAGGAGGGGCTGGGAACGTTCGCAGATCCATTTCTGTCGGTGCTACGCAGCTTTACTCGTGTGTAGAGTATCAGGACACACAGGGGAGGCAGCACTAAGCACACTGGCACTGCCACCCTGCCAACCACCGTGGCTCAATGTTAGGACTGTCACAAAATCATAGAATTAACCTGGTTGGATCAAAGATCATTGAGTCCAACCCTACCATCATTACTAGACCATGGCACTAAGTGCCACATCCAGTCTCGTTTTGTAAACCTCCAGGGATAGCTCAGTGTTCTGGGTTTTTTGGGAGAGAATTCAGCAGCTGACTAAAAGTGGCAAGGGAAAATGAACTTGGAGGACACCAGAGCAGCCTTGAAAGCCATTTGGAGCCCTATGTTGTGACAGGCTGCATCCTGTGTGTGTGCCTGCTTGCATGAGAGTTTACTAATAGGTCCGACGTTAATTACCCAGTTATGTCCTGGTGCAAGGCTGGGAATGAATCTCAGGAAAAGAACTGTTTGTTTTGTGTGGGCTTCCACATCCCATATACTCCGAGTCCCGAGGAAGCTGCATCTCCACCCTGTGTGCTCTCGTGCCTGTAGCTGTAGGCAGCAAGTGTGGGGAAGGCACAGAGCTCCCAGAACCCCTAAACCCCCTCCCACTGCAGCCCCAGCATGGAAAGCCTGAGCAGCCACGAGCCCAGGGTCTGTACACTGCTCCTGCCTCGGCTGAAGTCGTCCAGCTGTTGCCTGAGCAGAGACAGGGATTGGGTTTCACGGGCTGTGTAATCTGCGACAGTGCTCTCTGGCTTGGGGAGAGCCTCGCCCAGGCTCAGCCATCCCCTTTCTGCCCGTAGAGCAACGCCCCAGTCGACATAGAAGGAAAATTGTTTGCTGAATTTCTGCACAGCCCTCCTTCCAATAGCTGGGGAGAGAGGGGGAGTGAGAAAGGGAGAGAGTTTAAGACGGGCTCTGCACTGGTGTTCTGGGCTATTTCAACTTCAGGGCAACTTTAGAGAACTTCAGTTATTTTTGGTAAGTTTTTGGGTTTATTTTCCCCCCTTCCCAAACAAACCTCTCTCTTTCTTTCTTTTCAATCTCTGATGCAGCTTGCAGGAGTTTGCAGTAGATGATGGGCTTTAAAAAACGCAGAGAGATGTGGGCGTGTGTGTTTCGTGTCCTTTGATCCAGAAACTGAACTTTCTGATTGCAAAGACATAATGTTCTCAGCTGCTGTACTCGATAAGGGAAACCTGAAGATGCTGTGTGTTAAATGATACTGCTGGGGGAAAGTATGCCAAGAGCTTCAAGCAAGGTGTATCCCACCTGGTGGAAAACTTTGCCTCTTTGTGTGTGCAGACCAGGGATGGACAAGCATGTTCAGCCTGATAAGAAGGTTCTGATCCATGTTTTTTTTGTGCAGGGGGTTCATGCTTGTGCACTAAGCCTCCCCAAGCTTCCAGAGGGATGTTGGTTCTCAGTCCTATACACACCCCTCCATTCAGTAATCTCTAGTGCAGATCATGCACGTTGTTTTCCTTATATCTGTATACTTATCCCATGGGATGATCTCAGAGATAGTGAAACTCTCTTGTAGTACACAGAGCCAGTCCCAGTTGGTGCAACAAGTTGCAGAGTGCAAATAGCAAGTTCCTTAGGGTGAAGTTGGTTTCTGATGAATATGGGTGTTCCGTGATTTATTTTTCCCCTAGATATGTTTGGATTTTTTTAGTATCTGTGATTCTACCAGAGGAATTTTATTTGTGTGGATATCATATCTCAGTGGATATGATTTGCAATATATACATCTCATAATATACTGACTTGGCAGTAGGATCTCTGGATACTTGTGGAATTTGAGACTAAGATTTTGCTTGAAGCTTTTGAAAAGCAGATCATTAATGTTGTCAGTAGAGTTGAGATCCTCTAAGTGTTCCCTGTGAGGCTGCTGAGACTAATTAACACAGTGCAGAGAAATACGCAGGGCAGAATGAATCTGCTCACCTGCCTGAGTTCTGTGCCCCATCCATGTACCCTCATAAGTTCCTGAACGTATGAACAAAGATAGTCAGAAGTAGAATTTCTTTCTGTAGCCACCTGTAGGAAAAGGAAAAGTGCATTTTCTGAAAACTTTGACAGGAAAGAGAGAAAAACATTACTCACGTGAGGGAAATAACCAAAAGTCACTGCTACAACAAGAACAACCATTATTATTTAGGCTGGTGAAGGGACTGGAGCACAAGTGCCATGAGGAGAGGCTGAGGGAGCTGGGGGTGTTCAGCCTGGAGAAGAGGAGGCTCAGGGGAGACCTTCTCCCCCTCTGCAACTCCCTGACAGGAGGTTGGAGTCAGGTGGGGGTTGGTCTCTTCTCCCAGGCAACCAGCAGCAGGACAAGAGGGCACAGACTCAAGCTCTGCCTGGGCCGGGTTAGGTTGGATATCAGGAAGAGATTTTTTAGGGAGAGAGTGATCAGACATTGGAATGTGCTGCCCAGGGAGGTGGTGGATTCACCATCCCTGGAAGTTTTCAAGCTGAGACTGGATGTGGCACTTAGTGCCATGGTCTAGTGACCACGGTAGGGTTGGACTTGATGATCTTGGGGGTCTTTTCCAACTTAGTTGATTCTATGATTCTTTATCAAGAAACACAGAGCATTTAAAGACAACTTGGAAGAGACACAGTACTTAGCTCATGATCACCTGTTGCAGGCACAAGGGAAAGTGTCTGAGTATTGCCTTGCTAGATCTCTTCCTATAAACCTTAAGAAATTTTGCAGATCCAAGCAAATGTGAAGTCAAGCAGCTTACACCAGCCCATTTACTTCCAAAATCACTCCTAATATAGGTCAAAACTCCAGCACAGAATGGTTGCAGCTGTTTAACAGTGCAGGAAAAACCTATAAGGTCTGAGAATTTATAGGGTTTTATTAGCTCTGTTCAAAAATGATAAGTGTGACTGGAACTTTTAATTGCAGTGAGTCTATAACAATGGAGTTAACAGCAAACTGAAAGCCATAAATCCTTGCCAGGCACTCTGCAGTGCTGACATGTTCTATGAAGGCTGTAGCTTTTCTGTGGAAGCATTGGAGGTTTGTTAGCTAAAACTGCATTTTACTATCTTTGGTGTGGCACTCTCGTAAAGTAAACTCTCCTATTAGATTATGAGGCTTGTATAAATCTCTGCCTGAAGTCAGTTTGACTCGAGTCAGTGCTCATAAGCAATCCATCGAGGGTGGCTGCCTTCCAACCTCCTCTCCAGAGGGTGGGAATGTCTCTTCAGTTGCACAGGGCAGCGGTGAGTCCTGGCAGAGATCTGCCAGGGGTTTGGAGATGGCACGCATTCCCTGCTTTTAATTGTCTTGGATGCTCTGTCTGTATTCAGAGAGCTATGAGGTCAACGTGCCTCTAGTCGCTTTTGGCTGTACTCGAAGCTCATCACCGAAACAAAATCCAAGAGTCTGTAACACATGGTAATGGGAAGAGCTGCGAGCCCAGTTAACCTCCTGGTGACTTCAGAGGGCTCAGTGCTCTGTGCTTGGAGGCAACTCTTCTCTGGGGAGACACTGCACGACCTTCAGAGGTGCTTAGCATTGTCTCTGTGAGGGCACGGAGCACCAGGGGCCTGCTGAAGTCTCATGTCTTGCAGGAAACCACAGGAATTTCTATTCCCTTGGTCTGAATATACACAGAGCTTTGGGTTGGGTTTTTTCCCCTCTAGTTTTCTATCAGGGCAAAGAAATCATAGAATTGTAAAATTTTAGAGGTTGGAATGGACCTTAGAGGTCATCTAGTCCCAACTCCAAATCAGTTCATCCTGTGCAAGAGTGAAACACTGAGGGATTTAAGTAGGATTTTTTCCATGGTTCCTTACATCCAGAGAGCTAAATAATCAGATTGTAAGGCAGTGTATTTGAAAGGTGTGAAAGTGACTCTCTTATATTCTGAGTAAATATCTGAGTAACTAGATTCAATCCCGTTTTTCCATCTAGCTATTTTGGCATTCCATATTGTCGCTCTCATCAGGGACAGCAAAATATGCACTGGAAGAAAAAATAAATCAGGGTTTTCACCTCTGGCAAAACATCTCACTGTGTTTCTGGGCTATGCTTCAGGTTCAATCCAAACCAGTAAGGTTGTGAAAGGGCCTCACAGTTAGCCCCGTGCAGAGTGAGGGGAGGACCTGACACAGACAGACCCACCAAGGGCAAGATTTGCTTTCAGGCAGTTGCCACATCCCTGAGCCTAAACTTGCACTAAAAACCTATTTCCCTGACATCAGCTAACAGCTACTGCCCTTTCGGCTTCCCTTAGCTGTAACTTCCAGGCTTTTCCTTCCACAGCCAAGTGGTGGAGCAGCTCGGAGCGATGTAGGAGATTCAGCTCCTGATGGAACTAAGGTCAAACCCTCCTGAGACTAGTTTGCTGTCTCTCCACATGCAGCAGAAATAAAGGCAACAGATAAGGTCCTTTGGTTGACCCACAGCTCTGCCTAGCCCTGGTGTTGGAGGATTTCAGCTGCAGCAAGGGAAATTTGCTTGATCCATGTGTTTGCTCATCTCACTCGATTTTAGAGTCAAGGCTGGAATTCATTATGTTATCCTGGAAAACAAAACTTGAGGCTGGGAGAGGAGAGAGGACCTTTCACATGACTAAATACTTCCTACCAACATCCTTACTGCCTGAAAGAGGATGTAGGTAGCCAAATATCTCCAAGTAACCATTGACTCACTGCAAAGAATCAATCCGCAGTTTTCTACCAAAAACCATCCAAATCAGGCCAAATGTGTAGCTCAGAGTGGCGGGGGCAAGGCAAAATACGTTATTGTGGCATGTAAGTAAGAAATAAATGCAGATAACTGAGAGGGGACCCATCAGTTAGGGATGGCAACTGTGCAGGGAGTGAGTCCCAGGCCACGGTAACAGCCCAAATCCCTGCAAAATTCCACGGAGC